ATGGCCTTGTGCAGAATGAATAGTGAAGATTTTTTCGTAACAACATCTGGCAACAACAATTTAATTAATACTTATTTTAATTTTAACAATAAACAAGTTCAACACAAAAACTTATTTAGTATTGTTAGATAAAGAAAGTTAAAATAATACCTAATGCAAATATGTAAAATATTTTAGATGGTCTTTCTACTATTCATATCATGCTTTAATAAAGTTAAATTAAATTAAGGTAGTATCTCTATTTGAAAAGTTTCCATAGAATGTCTTCAAAATTTAATATATAATTACATTATTATTATTACAGTATAATTTTTGTGGAAATCCCACCAAACAATTTTTTTAGCACTTAAAATATTGTCACTTGAAATTTCATGCGGCCAACTTAAAAACACAAAAATATGACACTTTCAAACTTTAATTATGACATTATAAAAACAAATTAACAATTTAAATTGTTATTTATTTACTTTTAATGTTGTTTTTAGTTTTTAATGATTCTTTAATTCGTAATAAAGTATTAATTTGTTAATTAAAATACAACGTTTTATTTTTACTAAATTGCCAATAAAACATTTTCTTTACTTTCATTGTAAAAAACTGTTTCTATATCCCATTATTATAAGGAATACATTTCGATTTACACATAAAAATTTGACATTTGACATAATACATATTCCCAAGTTGGTTACTCTATTGTTTCATAGATTTTTCTCTATACAAACATTTAATTTAAATTATTTTTAGATAATAATAAGTGTGTGTCGTAGGAAAAGTACACTGCAACTTGTTTATAAACTTTTCTAGACACTCATTTAATTAAGCACTCGCTCGCAAGCTCGCTTGTGCCTAAATCAAATTCGTGTCAAAAATGGTGTTTATTAAACTTGATACATAATAATATTATGATAATATACTATGGTAGTTTTTAGATTAAGCAAATTATGTAGGTGTAATATAGTTTAAAATTATTAAGATAAAATATTTTTAAAAAATTTAATTCACGGTGTTTATTTTCCGCCCCTGACATTATTATTAATATTAATATAAGATGCAATAAGTAGAAGCACAAAACGAGGCGCGAAGAGTAAATTAAAATTTATTTTATTAAATTTTTTCGCCTTATTATTATATTATAACAACAACAGGAAATATGCTTAAGAGCTTATGAATTGCGAGGAATAGCGCGAGAAGGAAGGGGCTTTCAAAATAATTATTTTCGCCGGGTCTAATAATAAAGGCAACCTGTGGCTGACATAATAAATAATAAAATAAACGCAACACCGAAAACTTTTACACGTTATCTTTATACACTTTCTTCACTAATTAATTAACTCTACTACGAGGAAATTAACTTCTTATACGATTTGCCAACACAATTTAAAATGACAAACACAATTTTAAACACGTTTTAAAATGAAAAATAAAATAAAACAATATTTATGTCAAAACCAAAGTGATCTTAAAAGTCGAATACCTACATATTTAAATTAAGAATGAGAATAGTATATTCTGTAACAATACGGCAAATTCCGGAATATGCAATTCCAAATGTGTTTCAGACTATAGTTTGTCTACGTTTCTAAAATATAATATAGATAAATAATTTAATTGAGAGAAAGTAAGGTTCGATCGGTCTAAATGTTGTTAGATAATAAACACATAGATGGCGCCACCAGTGTTTATTCCGTCATCCGATGATAGAAGGAATTCTTTCTGTAATGAATATATGTAATTCCACATTTAAAAGTGATATAAGAACATATTCTGTAATATGAATAGAAAAAAGTTATTTTGTTATAGAAAGTCCAAAATGCCCTTGAGAATGTCAAATTTAAACGTGTCAAAATATAAATGAATTTGACAAGTGTGTCCCAACATTCTAAAACATATTCAATATTCTTTGTCATTCTAAAAATACACTCATAGGCAAAATAATCGATCCACACAAATTTTCGATGAATTTCAATGGCAAATAACTTTTTTATTTGATTTCGGTTTTAAACAAATATTAAAGAATATTGTAGATACATTAATGGAGAATCGCTCACATTTTAAAAATTACAAAAAAATACACGTTCGTTTATAATATACAGGTTTAAACAAAAAGATGTTTTTTACCGTTTAAATCCGACATCAAATAAAAAAAGTTATTTGCGATTGAAATTTATCGAAAATTTGTGTGGATCGATTATTTTGCCTGTGAGTGTATAATGTCAAAACATTTTAGGATGTTAAAACATAGTTTGACCCTGGTCATTTCACGTCAAATCAAAGCAGTTTACCACATTGTCTCAGATTTTCCTCAAATTTTGTGCGGATAATATATAGGGTAGGATAACAAAAAATCTTAGTTTTGAAGATTCCACGATAACAAAATAATTGTAGTTTTTAAATTTTTCTGAACTCCATCCTTACCAGAAAGGTTATTAAATTAAAAGTTTGTTTCTAGGGGTAACTAATTTTTTAATTCTTCAACTTTTATGTGACTAAATACTGGTCGGTTTTCAAAAACTACATATGAGACATGTCAAAAATGATAGGTAACAGATGTCAAAAATCATAGGTGACAGTCTATAACAGATGTCAGAAATGAGCGAAGTCAGATTTCAAAAATGAGTCATATGAATCGAAAATACGAAACAAAATAAGCTAACATCTGTTATCTGTCGTTATTGACAATTTACGTAAATTGTCAATAAAGACAGATAACCGATGTTTTTTTAACTTTTAAATTTTTTTATGTTTTTGAAATCCTCATTTACCACCAATGTTTTTGACAGTTTTTTTCCTTCTTATTTTTTACATTTTAATGTTTTTAACATTATAAATTAAAATATTAAAAACATTTTACGATATGGAGAAAAATGTTAAAATGTCAAATCATATTTTAGAAACATAAAATTATATAATTAAAATGTTAAATCTTATTTCATCACAAATATTTTGTTGAGCTACAGCACTGTTATTTAAATACGTCGCCTTTATTATAGAAAACCTGGAAAATATAATTAAAAAAGCACGTTTACGAATACAATGATATAGTTTAAAGCAAAACATCCTTATATCAAACAACAAACAAATAAATCATTTTCTTTTAATTAAAAAATACACTTTACAATATCCATTTAATCCAGTCATGCAATTTATTTTTGAATTTTTTTTAATATAAACATTAAACGCGCAAACAAGTAAAACCCCTTGTAAGCCGTCCCGGATTTCCACACTGTAATAATTAAATCTTAACTTTAGTTAAAAATATCTCTTTGGTGACAGGCTGGCGGCTTAAAATATTAGCTTTAGGTTTTTGCCTATTCTAATCTGACCCCGGTCAAACTTTTGTCCACAATCGTAATTCACTGTGGGTCTGAAATATTTTGTTTTTTTAGGAGCACGAAAAAAAGGTTTTTCCTATCGTCTAAGTTGTAAGGTGTTACACATTGGGGCGTTCCTTATTTCTAATTAATTGTTTATTATAATAGGTAAAAACAATATAAAAACATAAAAGTGCTATTAATATGATAATCTTGTCAATACTTCAATGTTCAATGACTATGCCAAAAACGTAGGTCGCTTTTTGGTATGGTATATTTTTTTAGAAGCATGTACTTGTATTTTAAAAAAAAATACAAAAAAGAACGTATAGGTACTTAATAGCTTTTTTCTACAGAATTAAATTTTCTAAAAAAATATTTCTTGGTTATTGCTGTACGAGGTATGTTCAGATAATAACGGGAATTGTTAAATTTCGCGGGTTCGGAGGGTCCGGTTGTCATAAAATTTTCTTTATTATGTAGGTATACATGACCCCGAAATATGTTAAAAACTTTAGCTGTTTTCATTGTTTACTTTGTCTGTGGCAGCCGCTAAGGTTAGACGTTTTTTATGAGCTCGGCGATTTTTCGTTCGTTAAAAGAAATGGATCAAAGAATTTGTATCCAATTTTGCTTAAAAAATTAAATAAATTCTGTGAAATGTTAACAAAGGCCTATAGTGAATCTGCTATAAGTAAAACAAGAGTTTACAAGTGGTATAAGAGTTTCCAAGATGGCCGTGAAGACGTTGAAGATGACGAACGCCCCGAACGCACAAGCACATTACCAACCGATAAAAACATGGAAAAAGTGGAAGAAATGGTTATAAACCATCAGAGAAGTCGCTGATGATGTTGGTATATCGATTGGCTCATCCCATGAAATTTTTTCGAATGTTTTGGGTATGAAACGCGTGGTAGCAAAATTTGTTCTAAAATTTTTAAATTTTTAACAAAATTTTTGGCCAAAAACAATACTGTAATGATGCCCCAGCCTCCATATTCGCCAGACCTGCCTCTGTCTGACTTTTTCCTATTTCCAAAAATAAAGAGAACCTTAAAGGGCCGTCGTTTTCAAAGTCCAGATGACATTAAAAGCGCATCGCTGAAAGAACTAAAGGCTATCCCAAAGATTGAGTTTTAGAAGTGTTTCGAGTATTGGAAGAAGAGCTGGCACATGTGCAAAATATCCAATGGGGATTATTTTGAAGGCGACAACATTAATGTAGACGAATAAATAAATATTTGTTTCAAAAAACGAAAATTCCCGATATTTTCTGAACACACCTCGTATGTCTATTCTATTAGCGAGTCGTGGAATTTTTTCCATTTCATTAAAATGAAAAATGCATTGGAAATACCTTTTTTTGTTTGAAAACTGTCCCTATGTTGAAACAATTCATTTAGACCATGGCCAAATCAAAAAAGCCAATTTTGGAAAGAACGGACGCTCCATGAATCACGAAACATTAGGAATTATGAATTTAAAAGTTCCAATAGGTATACCTCTTTAAAACAAGAAATATTTACGTTTTTCTTCTATATCCTGAACTTGACGTTGCACTGATATAACGTAGCAAGACTTCAGCAGCAGATGTGAATTTCTGATATATAACTGCATTTTTAACATAACATTAAAATTTGAATAAAAAAAATACACAGTAAGTACTAAATGATGATTTTTTTGCAGGTCCTTCTCACCATGAAGGTCTATAGTGCCATAATTCTTGTCCTGGGCTGTTATATTAGTTCTTCAAAGGCTTATTCAAGTAAGTGAAACATTTGTTTATTGTCAATCGTTGCAAAAACAACAATAAGAACAATTTAAAAATATTGCCGACCTTGTCAGGTCATTTGTATTCACACGAAACACATCATTATCCAATTTAAATATAATTATTTTTATTACAACGGATTTTTTCTGCACAATTTAATTAAATTCCTCTGTTGTTAGATTTGTAAGAGTATATATATTGTTTGTAGTTTTTGTTTGGCTAAAGGCATAACATAAATTTACCGAAGATGTAAAATATATCTACATTTTTACAAATACAAGGTTCGTAACCTTGCATATTTTGGACCCACTTGTGCGAAAAGTTTAACTTTTCTTTCCAGAATATGGTAGGTCATGTAAAGACATAGGATGTCGAAGCAATGAAGTTTGCGTCATGGAAAATGACCCTTGTTCGTACTACCAAAGGCAGAACGAATGTGGGGCGTACCCCACGTGTAAAAAAACAACTTCCGGAAGCCCTACGTGTGCCACCTTTGTATGTCCACCTGGAAATGTCTGCAAGATGAGTGGGGATAACCCTAAATGCGTCGAAGACACCTCTAAAAGTACATATTAATTTTAGTGTAGAAAGTCCCTATAATCTAAAATAATGTTTTTAGGGGGTCATGTGGGTTACGATACCAGTTCCTTGGACTCCCAGGTTCAACCTGCCCAGCCCGGCCAACCTCAGCAACCTAGTGCCCCAGTTCTACCCTCCAATGGGGGTAGTGTGTATCCAAACATCCCCACAAGAGGTGAAACTACTCCAAGACCTAACGTGAGACCTCAAAGTAATGGAGGTGGTGGATATCGCGGTGGAAGCATCGGTTCCGGATATCCAGGTCAACCTAGCGGATATCCGGCACAACCTAGCGGATATCCATCGCAACCTAGCGGCTATCCGAGCCAGTATCCTGGTGGTTATCCGCAACAAGGAGGAGCCGGATATCAAGGTGGATACAATGGTTATCAAGGTATTTTGTATTTTGTTTCATTTAGTGCAAAAAATAACTTAAAAAAATAATAAACAGGGTTTTTTTGGCGATTTAAAAGTTTTTGTTTTGTTATTTAATGAAACATGCCAACCCAACCCAAATAACAAAATTTTAACTTTTAAAATCGCCATTTTTCACGGGGTATTAAAAATACTATTTAAAAAAATTTGGTACCAACAGCAAATATACCAGTATATATATATATATATATATATATATATATCAGTTATTTTTCTCACTTAATCCATCCAAATTTAAAACAATGGGGTAGTTAAATTTTTTCTGATCTATACTTTTTATGGTTTTATTCAAGGCGTTTTGTAATTTTAAACATTTCTGTGAAATCGGAATTTCAATTGAGTTTACCGTTTTCGAGATATTTACAAAAAAAATCTCCTAATTACGTCACTAGGCTATTGACAACGTTGCCAGCTTTTTCTATGGTTGCCAGTGTGTTTAGTTTAAGATTCTTACGATAGATGGCGCCACGTTATAATATTTTAGTTTTAAAACCACTTGATCTTTAATTTTAGTTGAGAAGAAGAAGAAGAATTGATTTTTTGACGTTTCTTTTTTTGGGTTATGTTTTTTTTAAATTTGGATTATTGAAAATCAATGTTATTGTTATGATATTTGTAATTGATATTAGATTAGTGATTTATTAATAACGGACTCCAAAGCAGAGGAATCTTGTGGAATGGTTGGTTACATTGAACATTGGAGCTTTTAAACAAATAAAGTAAGTACCTATAATTATAATAATATTTTGTCGTAAATGCATTTCATTAGTATAATGCCTAGTTCTTTATATTCTTTTAGATATACCTTGGACTCTAAAATATCAAACAGTAATATGATACCTCGTAATAAGGAAGATAGGTACTTAATGAATTTGGTGACCATCTTTCACTCAACTGACAGTGACAGTATTTGTACATAACCTCTTCGGGTATTTTCTGACATAACCGAATGAAATCATTAACAAGACAACTTGACAACAGGGTAATTTTCAACCAATAGAAATCTTAGAATGTTGGTCACATGGCGAGGTTTGTGACGTCATAAAAATTTATATTTTTTGTAAATATCTCGAAAACGGTAAACTCAATTGAAATTCTGATTTCACAAAAATGTTTAATATTACAAAACGCCTTGAATAAAACCATAAAAAGTATAGGTCAGAAAAAATTTAACTACCCCATTGCTATGTTTTGTCCCTAATGTCAAACATGTTATTATTGTAGGAGGTTATCAACAACCTGGAGGATATCCTCAAGGAGGTTACCAACAACCTGGAGGTTACCCACAAGGAGGCTACCAAGGTGGTTCCAGTGGAGGTTATCCTTACAACTCCAATAGCAATCAATATGGCAACAAATACGGCCAGAAAAGCTCGGGATCTTCATTTAGCGATACTTTCTCGAATACATTGAAAAATCTTGGTACGGACCTGCTTAAAAGTGCCTTAGGCAAAATTATAACCGGTGCAGTCTCCAGAAATTAATCAAAAATGTATGTTGCTTGTATCAATAATAAATTATTTTTTATTTTCAGGGCTATTCTGTTGTCTTATAGTATACAGGATGTATAGCGCAGAATCCCTAACGTAGACTCTGAACCACAAAATCCCGCTAGCTCAGATGGTCGTGGGTGAATGTCCTTCGTAACTACTACTTACCTTATAAATTTTTTTAGAATTGGGCACCAAGTAATTTTTTTGTGAGATTAGAATAAAAGAAATTACTAAAAAAAATTGAAGTGTATTTTACACGAAGTTACACAGTATAAAAAAAATACTTAAATCAGATCTCAAGATAAGTTATTTTAAAGTACAAGTTATTTAAAAGTACCCTGGTATTACAGTTTGATGTTAATAACCCTTCGTGTATATTGGCCAATGTACCCGCAGTTCACACTATTCGAAGTTTATATTAAAGATGATTAAATTTAAAAAAAATATTCTACCAGGACCTAATTGTTAGTGAAAGAAATGGATCTGACCTTAGTTATGTACTTTGTAATACAAAATTGGTGTACGTGGAGCTTTTCCGGTAAGAATTGCACGTCAGTCCATCCGTGTACGGTATCCAATATCTAATATCCTGGTGATCGTGGGTGACACAGGAGGTGTAACTTAAAACAATTTGATCTTTATACTTGATACAATAAACTTGCTTGAGACTTAGACTGAGGCTCTAGGCCCAGAATTAAAACCCTAAAAATAAAATAAACCCACCTGAGAACTCGTCTCTCAATATAAAAAATATGCCCTACCTTGATAATAAGGGTTAAATGATTCTTATTCCTCTGGGTTGTCCCCTATATGGAGTTGATGTCCTTTACGAACTTATGGTGGAAACGTATGGAAACCCACGTGGAAAAATATTAGCAGTGGTTCAGTTTTAATCCGGCTACAAAGCCGTTTGGAAGCCGTTTGATTCCTTCAAAACACAATGCCAAAACAACAGCACAACTTCCAAGTTAGAAAAGCACGTTTATATCCCTTTATCAGGTTAGGCGTGAAAAGCCAAAATTTACTACGTACTTGTCTGCTGAACACACAATTGCCAAGTAATGAGGGCTAGCGTCCCTTAAAAAACCATTTCCTGTTTCCACCAGGTTCTAGAACGTTCTTGCCCGGATGTGCGTAATACTACCAAAAATTGGCACGGAAATCAAAACATCTAACAGTAGAAATTAAACGCAGAAGAATAAGAATGATTTTAAGACCTTAGTTTAACCGATAGTTCAAACAAAGAACAAAACACAACAACAGGAGAATCTAGGCTATCTTTATCGCTCGAAATTTGACATTTTAATTAATAATGCAACAGCCGAGTAGTTCAAGTGTCTCGGTGTTGCCGGATGGGTCTTTACATTTATATAGTATTATCAGCGAACCTGCCTCTAACGTCGAACATACTGTGCATATTCGTTTACAACCTCGCGATATCTAACACTATATTTATGTATTGCACCATGAGTCGGACCCGCCGTACGTGCTCAAAATCTAAAGATTTGTATTTGGCAACCCCGCAACCGTCAATGAATACCACTGGTATTATACCAGTCGAATGTCTAAATTTTACCGAACGAAATCTCCTAATTGTGACAGATGAAACGTCAAATACCGCAGACGACTTTGCCGACTGACATACAATTCTAAATGTTGTAAACAAAAAAAGTGGTAAGTAACTTGAATATATACTATCCTAACTTATTCTTTACGCATCCCTAGCTGTCTCAAGGCAATAATAAAACGTATTCTTTTTAGGTGACCTCAATGGCCTGTCAAACCCTTTAACAGCCAAAATACGCAAAATACAAGTAGGATGTTCTGCAACTAATAAACAAAGGTAAACTTTTATTCCCATCCCACAAAGTTATTAATAAAAGAAAAACAAATAATATTTAAGCTATGACTCAATTAAACTGCATATTCGCTTGATAACACCACTTTTCCTTTTAGGAAATCTTAGCCGAATGGACTGCCAAGAATATGACAACCTGAGTGACATGGCTATAAAACACTTTGTATTGTTGTTGTTGTTGCTCAATAAAGTCTCATGAGTTATACGTAGTTTCAATATCAAGGCAAGTTATGAAGTTAAATAATTAAAGATTTTAAGGTTATAAATATTAGGTAAGTAATAAGTAAAACAATTAAAGCAAGAGTTTAAAGTTATGGATATTAAGCAAATATTAATTAAAACAATTAAGGCAAGATTTTAAAGTTATGAATATTAACATCGGAAATATTAAAGGAAAAACCCACCGATTTAAGTGCTCAACACTAAACCAATGGTATAATATATTCAACAAAAAGTAAAGCACAATTTAATGTGAAACAAAAAATAGTAAAGCACAATTTAATGTGAAACAAAAAATAGTAAAGCACAACTTAATGTGAAACAAAAAATATAGTTAAAACCAAACCCGAAGGTTACAATTCCCCCCCAACCTTAAGAAAATTTCCTGAAATTTTCTCAAACAATGAAAACTCCTGACGCTATAGAAGGCGCCAACCAGCGAATACCGGGAAACACTCTCGCTCGGGAAACTCGTCGTAGGGGTCGGAATACCCATCGCTCTGAGATGTAATTCAGCGCGCCGTCGGTGTACTCCGCCTAGATCACTAACGATTTCACAGATCGCCTAACCTACTCGACTCTAAAACAGGAGTTTACGATCATGAAACCAAAAAAAATAAAGTGTACTCCGCCTAGATCACTAACAATTTCACAGATCGCCTAACCTACTCGACTCTAAAACAGGAGTTTACGATCATGAAGCCAAAAAATAAAGTGCGGAATACAAAACATACCTTCCCACGACGAATAACCCGAACAAGGATAACACCCTTCCGACCAATGTTTCCACAGGTTAACTCCAACATCAAAAAAATTCCCGAAAATTCCCCCAAGAAAAAAAACTTCAAAATAGACAAAAAAAAATAAGTATTGCCGTTTCTGGTCGCGAGATGATGCCACGGAGAAACTTCCCCATCCCGTTCGAGACTCGACATGGGGTCGGAGCAGCCATCGCTCTGAGATGTTGTGCAGCGCGCCGGCGGTCTACTCCGCCTAATATTTGGACCCCCCACAAAACGCACAATCAACCCCATAGGCAACAAGGGTGGGACCCCAAATGCTTCCACGCCGAGCACCCGAATAGCAAGGAAAATCTCCCCGCGCCCATCACAAGCACGACCATACAACCCGAACAGTTACCTCAAATTGCTGCCTCAACGGCTATGGAAACGACAGCAACAAAGAAACCAGCACAATCACCGCAAGAAGTCTACCACGGCCGTTCAAGCACCCATCTCACCAAGATCGGCGTACTTCAACTAACCAAAAATTTACACACGCTCATGACACCCTGGTAGAAGTCTTCCGCCAAAAGAGCAGGCTCTCCGCGTCTCGCCATCCCACATCCGATAAAAAAACAAATGATGTCGTAGGGTTGGTGGTTACAGGCGATACGGCTTGGCCGAGCATACCGTAGCGACGATTACTTGAGGAGTAATCATCGGCCTGATCGTTCCGCTTTCACGCGTACTCCGGAGGATGACCTCGCAAATCCTTCACATTCCAAATCCCTTTCTTGATTCCCAAGTCGTCGACCAGCTCATATGTCCAGGGTGAAACTTTAGACTTTATTCGGAATGGCCCTATAAATCGCGCAGATAACTTTTTGGAAATAAAGTTCTGAGCATCCGACAAAGCATAGTTTCGACGCCACACCATTTGATTGGGAAGGAACTCTTCATGCCGACGACGTAGATTATAATACCGAGAATTTTTCTCCGATGCGAGCTTCAACCTAGATTTGACGTCTGCGTAAATTTTCTCGAACCCACCGGCTCTATCCTTTATTCCGATGTCCTCATCGGGTCCAAAAACGTCCTTTCTGTTATACGCCTCACCGGACAAAATCATAGGTCTTCCGAAGTTAACAAAATAGGGAGACTGTTTGGTGGCTTCGCTCTTTGATGACCTGATTGCACACGCTATCTGAGCTAAATTCTCGTCCCAAGATCGATGATTTTCGGAGGTATACGCCATGAGCATGAACTTGATAGTGCGATTCTGCCTTTCCGTAGGATTTGCTTGGGCATGGTAATGTGCGTTAAATTTAGGGATGACATTGTATTTGGCCAGCAGGTTCTTATACTCTCGGCTTCGATATTGTGGACCGTTATCACTCAAGGCTACACGAGGAACACCAAACATCAAAAATACCTCGTCTTCAATCTTTTTAGCAATAACAGCAGCCTTCGAGTTTCTCAAAGGAAAAACCAAATTAAACTTACTGAAATAATCGGTTACAACCAAAATATAACAATTTCCCTTCTTCGACTTTACAAGGGGGCCGATTAAATCAGAAGATATCATTTCCCATGGTCGAGAAACCGAATGAGAGTGAGACAACATTAAACCTGCAGGCTTCCTATTGTCGCTACGACATTTCACACATACCATACAGCTTTTGACAAATCTAGCCACATCATTCCTCAGCTTGGGCCAATAGTACGACTGACAAATCCTAGAAAAGGTCTTATAAACGCCTGTATGTCCTGATGTGGGATCAGAGTGAGCCTTAACCAAAATTTCCTTTCTTTTACCCTTCGGTACTACTATCTTCCAATTTTCCCATGCCTCCGACATGTTAGGATATTCCGGAGCTACATATTTATACAAAACGTTATTTTCCAATCTCCACAAAGGAAACTTTAAGGGAAATTTCTTGACTCTACCACACATCAAATCATACCACCGATCTTTGGGGTCCGAAGGAAGATTTACTGAATCCAAAACTGGGACAGAACGACTAAGAGTATCAGGTACTATGTGTTCTTTGCCTTTCCTATGCACTATCTTCACATCAAACGCTTGCATACGAAGAGCCCATCTGGCAAGTCGACCATTGACATTATTCAGATTACTCAGCCAAACCAACGAATAATGATCGGTTATAACCGTTACATTTGGTACGCCCTCTATATATGG